CAGATTTTTCTAAGGCATTTAGCTTTTTCCTATGATAATATGTTTTCGAATGATACTTATCTACATGTAAATTACACATACCATAAGTTGAGGTAGTTGGTTTCCTACATTGTTTGCAAGGGTTTCGCTGACACCTTTTCCAATGAATTTTGCATCCTTCTTGTTGGTTATAAGCTCGTCCGCATATATTCCCTTCATTAGAAAGATATTGGTAAATAAATTCGGCTCTCATTGGGTATCTCTTATATTTCTATATTTATTTTTTATTTAAATTTTTTTCCCAGACAGTATATCCCAAGTTTAAGATATTGTATAACTTTCAAAAATTATCTAAAAATGACCTAATCTGAGCTTTCAGAGTTTCTCGACACCCTCCGCCCCGTACAAACAAGGTTTTAAAGCCAGAGATGTTGGCGAATGCTTATATAAAATTCGTGATGATAGTATTAGACCAAGACATTTCCTTAGCGTAGACAATGAGGATGAAATAGAAGCTACACTCGCAGATCATGAAGGCCATTTCCTACATGAAATTATTGATGGTGATAAGCCACTCCGTCCTATCATTGACTTCGATTTGCCACGAGAAGTATATGATAGCATTGAACCTAAACTTAAAGGTAAAGAGATACGAGATTTACTTATTAGTGCTATTACAAAGTGTATTTAGAGATATTCCCGAAGTGGAATCCTAAAACTATAACTATTGCTAGCAGTAGTGATGCGAAAAAAATGTCTTACCATATCTCAATTACTGGTATGAGACTTAAAAATATTGCACAGGTCGCAATATTCACTGAGCTTGTTCGTAAGAAACTTCCAGCATCCCTTCAGGGGAATAGTATTATAGATAATATTGCGAATAAACGTTCATTTTCCTTGCGAATACGTGGCTCACCCAAGTATAATGAAAAACAAAGGAGCATATTCGTGTGAAAAAAGCATTGCATCCAAAAGATGGAACCATTTTTGACTTCATGATTCGCCCGCCTAATGATAAATCAGAAATCACAAAAGTCCTCTCTTAGTTGTTCTAGAACTAGAAGCCAAAGGGTGTAATGATACTAATGGTAAAACAACTCAGAAAGAATTTGATTTTGTGGAAACATTACTCAGAGATAATTGTGTCGAAGGGTATACTCTCTCACCCCTTCGGATAATATTCCAGACTTGTTCCCATTAACTTGCAACTCCCTATCACACTGCCCATTATGTGATCGGGAGCATAGTAGTGAAAATGCCTATATTATACGAAAAAATAAAACATATAGATTTTATTGCCGCCGTGCTGATCAGGATCAAAAACCTAAAACGCAAAATCCTTCGAAAATACTTACTATTAATGAAACTGCCTTAGATCGAGAGAAAAAGCTTCTGAACCCTAGAAAACTAGACTATTCCAGAATATCAGATCCTAATGATCACTTCGTTTGGAGTGATCTAATTGATATGTGTGATACAAAAGAAAAATTCACTCGCAATGCTATATACAAAGCCATTCAAGCAACAATAGCATGTATTCAAACTGATACAAAATTATGGGTATTAAAATTTGAAGATTCTGATGGTGTATTTTCTTTAAGATGTCATCTAAGCTCTAAATTACCAAGTATGAAATTAACTTAATTGAGCTAGGAGGAGAAGCAATAAAATTAGTAAATCTAGTAGATCAGGCAGTCATAAAAGGGTTAATTCGATATCGAGACATTGATTTCCTCCCATACCCACCATGTTGCTCCCACCAAATACAAAGTTTTTCAACCTCTTCTTAGATTTTAAAGCGCCTATCATTGAAATAGATTCTGCTCTTATTGAGCCAATAATCTGGCATATAGAAAATATCTGGTGTAATAGAAATAAAGTTCTTTCAGAATATGTTCTTAATTGGTTTGCATATCTTGTACAATATCCTGATAAAAAACCTGGTACTGTTTTAGTATTACGTTCACCCCATGTTCTGAAAAAAATATCTTGACAGATTTTATTGGAAAGGAAGTATAAGGTCAGAATTATTCTTTGTGACATCAGATCTTGGGAAAGTATTGGGAAGATTTAATAGTTGCATACAAGCACGAAAACTTATCCTTTTAAATGAGGCTGGAATGGCCTCTGGAGAATGGCATAAGGCTAATGATCACTTAAAATCACTCATAACTGAACCATACGTGATAATAGAATGCAAAGGGCTTAAGCCTAAAACAATTAAAGACTTTGCTGGGTATATAGTTTTAAGTAACCATAATGTACCACTTCGCATTGAAATGGGTGATGAACGTATTGTATGTCTAGATTTATCACCTCGATGTAAAGAAAATATGGAATATTTTAAATGTTTAGGAAAAATTTTAGATAATCCAAATACACCTGGTATTTTCATTAATTATTTATTTAAACGTGATCTTTCAGATTGAATACCACAAAATATTCCCAATACAAAAATGAGAGCGGAAATAATGCGAAATCAACTTTCTAATCCTATTCAGTTTATAATCGATCATACTTCCTCATGGCCTATTGAAAAAATTGATAGACCATACTGTATAAATTTATATCAAGAATATATTGCCTGGTGTGAAAATAATGGATAAAAATCATTTACTAGCGCTATTCTAGGGAAAAAGTTTTCACAAATTAGTATTGATAGAACACGTTTACAAAATAATAGAAAAAGAGAATATCACTATATTCTTAACCGCTCTAAGATCGTAGCCAAGCTCTATGAATCCGGCTTAGGCGATATAGAAGAATTTTCTGATACACCTCAACCCAACTTACCTGAAAATGAGGCCACAGACATACCCATATTTAATGTGCCAGAAATCACTCCCTCAAAAATAGCCCCACCTCGACCAGAAAAGAAACTCCCTCCAAGGGATAAGAAGGCGAATAAACAGGACGAATTGACCCAGACTCTTTCTGACTATATGGTAAAAGATACACGTGCTCCAGTTGCTTCATCATCTGGCACATCTGAGACTTCTAAAACACCTGAGCCAGTAATAGATGAACTTAAGACTAGCAAGCTTCCCGAATCTATTGAGCCTATCAGCAAAGTGGTGGATATGCCTCCAAAAGAAATAAGCGAAAAGCATGATTTACCCAAACCTAATAAAGTATCATCTGCCATACTTCTGTCTAGGGTCCAGTGAGAAGAACGTCTCAGAAAAAGGGCAGTCGAGCTCAGTAAAGATCCCAAAAAGTTCGTAACCATCACAGAAAAAGATAAACACGATTCACCCACATTCCGGAATAGGATGGAAATGGATTCACGAATGTGTGGTTGGGCTATAGAGATGGAAGATGATTCTAAAGAAGATATGGACATGACGGTACGTAAAAGATTGATAGGAGAAGAAATTATCCGTCGCAGGCTCGAGGATAACGGAATCACAACCTCGTAGCTTGATACTGATGAGAAATGGAAAAAAACAATAAGTATACTCCAGGAGAATGGTATGCTTTGGTAAAGAGCGCCTCCCCAATCAAAGATTTATTTTGAGGAGGATTATTATTTTTTTTTTCACATATCCTATCTACCCATAATTTTCAAATATATATAAAAGATATTCCGGCCGGAGCTCGTGGCCTCATAGAGAACCCGCAATTAGTTATAATATTCTTTTTTGCCCACTGACTATGAGGTAGTGAATTGTCGGAATAATTTTTTCGAATTGTACTTTATTCCACAATATATAATCTGAATATCACAGATTAATCTAACTACCACTATAGTCTACTTACCACAACATGTCTGCTATTACAACCAAGTTCGTTACAGACTATGAACTCACCAATGAAATGAGTCTCAAAGAGCTTAGCCGGTATGCGTTAGAAATACTTGAGCTCTTACCAGGTGATAGAGAGAAAAGGCATCAGGCTCGCGATCGTCTTCAAGAAGGATATAACTTTAGTAAAGAACAAGGATTTGCGTTGATACCTTCTCAAAGAACTGATCGAACTAAAAATCAAGTAATCTCCAAAGAAGGAGGGGCAGAAGCGGAAGTGAATATATGCTGTGCTAAAAGCGTCTGCCAAGTATTTGATATTATTCCAGAAGGAGAAACTATTAGAGAAACGGCTCAGCATATTATGCGGGACAGCTTTGGTGAAAAAGAAGTAAAAGTTATAGCTAAAGCATTAGCTGAGACATCCCCTAATCTAGTTGCCTGCACATCTAGTCTCAGTAGGCTCTGAACGGAATTGCAGAAGCTTAATGCTCCAGAGGTAATAATCGAAGCTACGAAGATTTCAGAGATGACCACTTTATCGAATAAAATCCAAAAGGAAAAGAGTTTATTATGCAAAGATGAAGGAATTCATTATCCAAACCACTTCTCGTTAGAATTGGTTAAAGAGAGACTGGATTCGTATGATGTATTTAATACATCTGACAAACAGGCCCTAGCTGATGTAATGATTATGCTCTGTATCCGTCCAGCTGAAATTAAAAATTTGCGTATATCTAATGGAGGTGTAACAGGATACGTAAAAAACCGAGGTCAACAGGATATTCCTCGGGTGTTTAGATCACTTGAAAAGAGCGAGGAGCGGGCAAGGCAATTGCTTACATGGATTCAGGAAGCAATATCTTCTGGACAGTTAGGAGACCCAGGGACGCCTGGAACTGGAATTTTGAGTAGGTTTCTGAAAAAAACTGAATTTCTTCCTAAAACTGGTAAGCCATTACTTCCTAGTTCCTTACGTAATTTAGGAGCTGTATTTGCAGTTGTAGTGAGTGGGATTAGGAATTTATCGAAAGCTAATACTATCGCTAGTCAAGCACTTCGCCATAGTCCAAAAAATAACACTGCACTATCGTAGAGGTATACTATAGTAAATTTTCGATTGAGGGGACAACCATATAATCAGACAACGGTATTCAAGCTCTTTGATGAAAACTAAAAAATACTAGTAAAGGATATCTGTATATTATTTCATTTTTTTATATACAGTATAAATTTTACTGGTTTATTGATAGATATTCATAGTAACTAAATATTTCAACTCTTATTGTGTATTGCTGAATCAATATATTCCCAGTGATACCCTCCAGCATATGATTGAAGTCCACAACATACATCTGAAATATGATAAGTTTTAGTTACACGCTGTGCTTCAGCTATAGATGAGAATTCTTGAAAAGATCCATTATTAAAAATCTGTTTAACAGGATATTGTTTTTGAAATCCAGTACATACGGCATGTTGGACATTTTCTTTCGGAGTGACCCATTCAATATTCAAAGCTTTATTATTAGCAGGATTCCCATCAATATGGTTTACATAATCTTTACCTTGTTCTTTTGGGCAAAAAGCTAATGCTATTAGGCGATGAACAGAATATTTTTTAGTTCCTCTACCAATACGAAGATATTCTGACTGTAAATTTCCTTGTGTAATCATACCATTCACTAGCTGAACTCTACCTAAGGATGATACTTTAAATTTTTCTGAATCAAATTTTAATTCATTGAGATTGGGTTTCATATAATTTTCATAATACATCCAATACCATCCTCCAGCAGAATTTCGTTTTCCACTATAACATAATGAAATGGTACTTTTATAAATATTAAGTGTATCTTGCGCAAGAGTAAGTGAATCCCAAATCCTAATAATATTTCTATCTAATCCAATTTGTACAACTTTTCGAGATCTACTACGATCAGGATTTGGAAATACTTTGCGATTAGCATTTTCTTTAGAAGTTACCCATTCCATATTATTTACCTGATTGTCTGTTTTAATGCCATTAATATGGTTAACAAAAGGTTTATTTTTTGGATTAGAAATAAATGCTTCAGCAATTAATCTGTGAAGATAAGATTGTGTACGATTTCCATTGATATTAAAATCTATTCGTATATAACCCCCTCTGTGAATATGACCTTTTAAAATTACACCTTTTTTATTTTTAATATGTCTAAGATTAGACGTATAATAATCTGAGCCCGTTATAGATGACCAAACCTCCATTTCAATGTTTACTATGTATTATTAGTATATTTTCAAAATCGAATTAGAATTATGGGATTGTTATCCATATCTAAAAAGAGGACAGCCTACGATCAAGCAAACCCATTCATGCTCTTCGATGAAAACTAATCACATACTAGATGGGTTAGATATCATTTATTAATTTTATATTTTCGTTCGAGATAAGATCTAGCATATATAATATATCACGAAAATGGTAACCGATCAAAAGCATTCATCTGAGTCTTCCGAAGATTCTGATTCAGTTGAGATAATTGAGGGGTCCCATAAGGACCAGGTAAGAGGGGCTGTCCTCATAAGCAACGAAGAAAGGTGCGACCAAGAAAGGTTAAGCGAGTGGTAGTTTGAAATGGTCGAGCCAGAAGGATTCGAAATATCAGGTATTGAATAGAGGTTTTAATTTTATATTTGAATATTATATATGCCATAATAAAATGGTATTCGTGAATTGTATAGTCGAAGAAAA